AGAGGTGGGCACAGTGGCGGGGGGAGAGCTGGAGGGGGGTTCAGTGGACACAGAGGTGGCGAGACAAGTGGGCATAGTCAAGGGGAAGAGCTCGAAGGGGGGGTCAGTGGACACAGAAGTGGTGAGGGGGAGAGGAGAGAGGTGGCACAGTGAGAAGTAGAGAGCCGCCCAAGGCTAATATCAGGATTGCAGGGGGAGAGGTCAGGTGAGCTCTGTACCACATAGCTGGCACCGTGGACCAGGGTACGGGACCCAGCACCAATCCTCAATAGATGATGGTGTTCTGCATTGCTGTTTAATGTATTGCTGGGATTTGTAGTCCTCTATAGATGATAGTATTCTGCATTGCTGTATAATGTATTGCTGGGATTTGTAGTCCTCTATAGATGATAGTATTCTGCATTGCTGTATAATGCATTGCTGGGATTTGTAGTCCTCTATAGATGATAGTGTTCTGCATTGCTGTATAATGTATTGCTGGGATTTGTACTCCTCTATGCAGTGACAGAACTACCAGGGCCATAGAGGTTGCAGCAGTGACGGTGCCCTAGCATTTCGCCACTTAGGGGGCCCTGATAACCGCCGACATTGCAGGCTACCGGACCCCCCTTTTTTCAGTCTGTGGTCCTCCATCCTGCAGATTGCATGGATTGTGTGTGTCACGATTGCACTATGGTTTGTTTTTGTGGATGGGGTGGGGGGGAGGGACTAATGAAAGAATTGCCCCCCGGGTGCCTCGTGACTTTGCTGCGCCTGGGAAGGAGGGGGGCATTTCCCCCCCGGCTGGGTCGTAGATGATATGGAGGCTGGGCTGTTCCATTTGTCTATGTGCAGTAAGGGAGCCGCGCTGTCCACCTCGCTCATGTCAGTCTGATGACGGCCGCGCAGAGTTATACTTATACTGCCTGTAAAGTCATAAGGTGGTTTATGAATGCCGTGCGGCACATCTGACCTCGTTTAGCCATCCGACCTCGTGCATGAGGAATGGTTGGGGGCTGGAAGGGGGGGGGAGCAGAAAATTCTCAACCCAGATGACTACCGCTTAATCCGCGAAGCGATAAACAAAACCTCCATCACATGACGCAGCACCCCCGCTGGACGCGCATCGCGGCAACAAGCGGCATCAGATGTACGGGAGGTATGGGCGGTCGATGGGTTCATGGCAAGACAGTGTTACCCAATCACCGGAAGCGCATACAATCGTGTATTGGGGAAATGGCTTAATGTACCATAACGTGCCTAAACCTCAATCAATTGCCTTGAAACTTTGCACAACCCATGACAGGGTAAGGCACAGCCGTCCTATGACCCAACCACCCACTGCTGACTACAACCCTTAACCCCTCCATGACCCATGCCCACCTTAAATAATGGACCACACCAGGTTGGATATAAAATGGCTGTAGCAGCCGTTTATTATAAAATATCTTTAAATATATAATTTCGGTTCAAACATTAATTATCACCATAAACAACAATTTCTCTGTAACCTATTCTTTGGCGTGAGGTCTGCGCAGGCACCACTTACTCAACCACCGAAGATCTCTGCTTACCCCCTTAAACCACTGGCCCCTAGCCGCAACCCACCGACTCAGGGACAACATTGGGAAGTAACAGCAGAGACCTCCTACACCTATTTCTGACCTCTCTCTCTGCTGAACCCGCCAGAGAACAAACGGGGCCGCGCACCACGGAACGCAGCCCACAGCCACCGTAGCCCGCCATGCGCAGACCTAACCAACGCCACCGAGATCCAGCCTCTGAAAGACAAGCAAGTGAATTAAAACAAGCAGTAAACAAACAAACAAAAAAAAAAACAAAACAAAAAAAAACGTTAGGGAGGGAGGGCGGGAAGTGAACTGACCTTGTGCTGACTCCCAACTGCCTGGATCACCCCTCCTCCTGCTCTAACCACCCTGGATGCTCCTCCTGGACCACTTGACCCAGCCAATCACGGTAAGTGACACCCGAGCACCTTCCTTAGGCTAACTTAACCCTTTCTCTACCTGACTGCCTGCCCACCCTGTCATGCCGTCCTTTCGCCTATTCTTTTGCCTTTTGCTCCAGGACTTTCTAGTCCTCAGCTTCCCAAACCTACCCTGGAAGTTTCATGTTACCCACAAGGCAAATGAGTGACTAACCCTACGGACTAAGACTGGGATGCCATTAAAGTTCACGTGCGTGTAAAGGCGTCCCAATACTAATGGCAATATAGTGTATGTAAGTATGTAGTACGTCTCATATCTGGAGGAGGGCACACTAGGGGGTAATGCCCCTTTCACATGGATCTGTCCATCCCGTTTTTGACCCATGATCCCAAGATGGAGGACAAACTGGAATGGACACGGATGTTACATATGTGATATCTATCTCTGCTCTGTTCCCGGATCTAGGATCCCCAGCTGAGAGGGAGCGGATGGTGCCCTTTATTGAAAAATGTTGTTGCACATGACCGCCGAAGATAATGTTTTTCCCCCAAGGTCACCGGTTTAGACAATATCATATGGGACCCATCTGCTCCAAACATGTATATGGCAGTATAATCTGACAGCGGATTCTCGTATATCACATTCTGGCATTCCGCGCTTTCACACTATATATATATACACGCTGACTGAGACCAGCACGGCTAGAAAGTGTCTCTCTTTTTTATGTATAAAATGTCCATTTCTTTTTAATGGAGGTTTATAGAGATCAAAAAAAGGAAAAAAAGATTGAAAACAGGAGGTCACTTAAAGCTGAACTCCGGGATGAGCCGATATTGTCCTCATACATGTGTATTTCTTCCAGATCTGTGAGACTTGGAGCTTCCTGTAATAAAGACCGGTCACTGCTGCCCTCTCTCCTTGTGCAGGGTGACTGGTCTTGTCTCCGCCCCCCTCCTGGTCTAAAGACCGGTCACTGCTGCCCTCTCTCCTTGTGCAGCGTGACTGGTCTTGTCTCCGCCCCCCTCCTGTAATAAAGACCGGTCACTGCTCCCCTCTCTCCTTGTGCGGGGTGACTGGTCTTGTCTCCGGCCCCCTCCTGTAATAAAGACCGGTCACTGCTGCCCTCTCTCCTTGTGCAGGGTGACTGGTCTCTCTATATTGGTTTAATGCTCCTCTATATTGGTGATCAGTAGGGGAAGGTTCCCCTTACCCCTTATGCTGGTGGGCAGTGAAGGAGGAACCCTTTACAATGGTAGTTATTAGGTGAAGGTCCCCCTTACACCGGTGGTCGGTAAACAAGGAACTCCTTACAATGGTGGTCATTAGGAGAAGGTCCGCTTACAATGGTGGTCATTAGGAGAAGGTCCCCTTACAATGGTGGTCATTAGGAGAAGGTCCCCTTACAATGGTGGTCCGTGAAGAAGGAGCCCCTTGCATTGGTGGTCATTAGGAGGAAGTCCCCCTTGCAATGGTGGTCTTTGAAGAAAGAACCCTGTACATTGGCGGTCAGTAAGAGAAGGGCATACTTAAATTGGTGGTCAGTGAAGAAGAACCCCTTTACATTGGTGTTATTAGGAGAAGGCACCGCCTACATTGGTGGTCAGTGAAGGAGAACCCCTTTGCATTAGTGGTAAGTACTAGACAAGTCCCCTTACACTGGTGGTTTCTATAAAAAAAAAAAAGAACCCCCTTGCAGTGGTGGTCAGTGAAGAATAAACCCTTTACATTGGGTTGGTCAGTAATGAAGGGAGTTTTGACCTTGGTGGTAGGTGGGAGAAAGTTCTCCTCACCCTCGTGGTCAGTGGAAAGAATTCCCTATTACATGGGTGGTCAGTGGGAAGAATGCACCTTCCATCGGTGGTCAGGGCATTGCCCCCTTACATCAATGTATACCATAAGCTCTGCCATTCCATGCAAGCACCATCAGGCAGGAGATCAATCAGTTACAGCCCAAGGAACCTTTACCAGCCTCTGGAGGAACCCTAGAATTCCACAGAAACCCGTTAGAGAAAAGACTAATCTAGTTAATAAAAGCCACAACACCAAAATGTGCCGAGAATAAAAAAAAACCTCACGAAAGGTCACAGAAGTGTTTTTTTTTATGGCCTTGGATTTATTTTAAATGGTCATTTTAAATAGCAAAATCACTGAGTGGATCTCCTTAATAAAAACAAACCTTTGTGTCACGCATCCTGATTGCGCAACTGATTGAAAGATAAATTCCGTCAGAGCAAGCAACGAAAGTATTGTTTGTCCAAAAGATTACTCATGTGATTTCCTCAGCCTGCAGCTCAGCACATTATAAGCTAAAGATGGCCAAAGCTGCCTGTGATGTCTGTCCAAAAGGACGTTCCTGATGATCTTCCTCGGGGGGGTCAAAGGAAATGATGCCCTTCATAGTATGCAGCAGCTACGCCAGCCTGGGTACCGCAGAGACAGATGTTGTGTCATGTATTCAGTTGGCTCAGCTGGGCGGATCCCGTCATCTACGTCGGGATCCGCCCCGGCGTCTCAGTATACCGCGAGCTCTAGCTCCCTATATAATGAGCTTAGGGTGACAGGAGGACGCTAGTTTGTGTCACCCCGTTACCCTAAGGAGAACTATGGGGAAAAACACTGACCCCGTAGTTCTCCTTTAACTCCTAGGAAGTGATTGAGTGACATTTGAAACTACCGCTGCTAATTGTATACATTCTGACAATTGCATATATTTCTTACATCATATTGTGGGTAATAATGTCCTTTTAATCTCTCGTATCTTCTGAAATGTAGAAATGTGAGGATCGGCGAAGCGCTGAAAGAAAGGCACGGAGCACAAGGAAGAAAGGGAATTGTGCGGAGAGACAGCATGACAGGGGGAGAAGGGGAGACAAGCATAGGAAGAGTTAATAGAAAAGGAAAAGCGAATAGGGAGGGAGGGGTCGCTTACCTGATTGGAGGCAGTGGGAGAGGGTGGGATTTCCAAAGGTGGGGATCCTGGGAGGAGTTGGGAAGAGTCCAGTTGCAGAAAAATTGGACCAGGAGAAGGTATTTCCCGCCCACCCGCACATATAGAACTTTTGTTGCGTTTTTCTCTCTTGTTGTTAATTTGGTTTGTGTGTTTCTTTGTTCGCTATTTAGGTTTTCGAGTGGCTCGTCACTGCAGTCTTGGGCGATTTGGGGTGCTTGAAGGTGGTAGCGATGCCGTAAGTTATGGAGAATGGTGGGGGACCCATCATAGGTGTGGGTCTCCTTTTAAGTGGTGTCAAGTGTTGAACACCTAGTTTTTGGGCTGGAGGTGTCTACGTCAAACAGATAAATGTCCCCGAGGCGGTGCTGTTCGGCGGGGGTGGGGGGGGGGAGGTCACAGTGCGGAAGGGTGAATGGGGGAAACGACGGGATCCCTCTGAAGTACCCTTGTCATGCCCTAATATTTCTGTTTTATTCCCAACAGAGAATGAAATCTCCAAGCTTCCGGCTAGAGGCTTTGCGGGTCTACCTAACTTAGAGTGGCTGGATCTGAGCAAGAACAAACTTGATGACTCCGGCTTGGCCTTTGATGTCTTCAAAGTAAGAAGACCTTGGTCGTTGACCTATCACGTACAAGTCATAGTCATGTAACGCTCGCGTAGAGTAGATGATATCGTTCAGAGCAACTTTCCACCACCACCAGTAGAGAGAGAAGAAGGGGAACAGAATTTGAAAACCTATCGCAAGCCTACGTTATAGAATGAGGATATGCCTACTTTGTATTGGTGTGTTTTGATGTAAACTTCATAGGCAAAGGGGAGGATTTGGACCCTTCGGTCTTTGTGTCAGGGAACCGGGGGTGTTACCTCCTCGCAGGGTCTCCCTCCAGCCTGGCAGAACCACTGGCGCCCGGGTCATCAGGCACCCCTCTCATTGGATGATATCATGTCATGTGACGACACAGAAGAAATTACACTGGGCTACAATGTACAGCAGTGAGTGTACAGCTTGTATGTCAGTGTACATTTACTGTCCCCTCAAAATAACTCAACACGCCGCCATTAATATCTAAACCGCTGGCAACAAAATTGAGTGCACCCCTAAGTGGCGTGCGCAGCGATGCCCAACGTGTGTATTTCATACGTAGGCGCAGCTGACGCGTGTTTACGTTATGATGTGCGGGGGGCGGGGGACTTTAAAACATTTTTTACAATTATTTTTACATTTATTTAATTTGATATTATTTTTAAAAACTGTTTAAATTAGTTTTTTTTACTTTACTTTAATTGCTGTCACATAGGGGGGGATTACAAGCCCCCCATGTCATAGCATATGGGTGGTGACAGGTCCTCTTTAAGGTTATACTGGGTGTCCAAAAGACCCCCAGTGTCACCTTTCCTCTCTAAATAAGCTATTGAAGTGCAGTTCGCAGGCTTCAGGAGCCGAGCACTGACAGCTACGAGACTGGAAGTGATGTAATCTGCGTCGCTCCCGGTCCCATAGTGCGGGAAGGAGATCGGTGAATGGATGTTCGAGGTTCTCCTCCCCCAGCTTCCCACCGACACCCGAGATGCCGGTCCCGTAGGAGGGGCAGCAGAGCCCGGGACACATGACAGGCGTGTCGGGCAGGCGAGGGGGGGAAATTTACCGGCCCGTAGAAGCGATATGGCGACAGCTTAGCCGCCAGAATCGCTTCTATTGTAACGCCGACAGCCGGCTCTACAAATGTAAACAGAGTCCAGTCTGTTTAAACGGCCCCGCTGCCAGAGGCGTACGATGCGCGTCGCTGGCCGCGATGGGGTTTTAAATGCGTTTGCACAAGTTTCCAATGTAAAATAAAACACTTTGAGCGTTCGGGTGTTCAGTTTTCTCTCATACCTTTGTAAATTACATTTATTAAGACATTTTTATTGCATGGTGTTGAGCTGCCGGTGCTCTCTGCGCCTTTTATGACCTTCTCCAGCCAAATACTGCGTCATAAACTGTCCGTTTTTTGTCTTTCAGAATCTAACCATGTTAAAGCGGCTGAACTTGGACGGTAACCGCCTGTCGGTCCTCCCCCTCCTCCCCTCATCTCTCCTGGAACTGAAAGTCAACGATAATAATCTCCGAGAACTAAACAGACACAGCTTCCGGGGTGAGGAGCCAAATGTGGGGAAACAAACATCTTCATGAGAAAGTAGAACACTACAGAGCAGTACATCAGAAATAGAATATATTTACTGCACGTCTTAATCAGGGGCGTAACTAGAAATCACAGGGCCCCCATAGCAAAATTTTGTATGGGGCACCCGTGATTGCTAGTTATGCCCCTTGCAGAGCCCACCTGAGATCCCACGCAGCCCACCTGAGAGTGACCCTGCAGAGCCGCCATAGACTCTCTATAGCGGGCTCTGCAGGGTCTCAGGTGGGCTGCACACCTCTTACCTGTCAGCGCTGTCCGCCTCCGTGGTCGCCGGGGCCCGCCTCCTCTTCCGTCCCCCGCCTCCTCTTCTATCGACGTGCCCCGCCTCCTCTTACATCACTGACCCCACTTGCTCTTAGGTCGCTGGCCAGTGATGTAAGAGGAGGCGGCGGTTGCTCTTAGGCGGGCCCCCGCCTCCTCCTTCACTGCGAACGCCGGCCTCTTCTGCCGTAGCTGCTGGCTGTCACTGACACGGCTCCGCAGCGGCAAGTAGGTCGGCTCAGTAGATCGGGAAGTGAGGGAACACATACCGGCGTTCGCTCACCTCTCGATCCTGTCACGGCTCTCTGCCGTGACAGGGGAGGGGCTGGATTCCTCGCTCCGATCCGCCTGCACTGACTGGTGGAACGGACGGGGGAGGGGGCGGGTACAGCTGGCTCTGCCTCTAGATAGGCAGAGCCAGCTGTCACTCACGCAGCTGGGCAGATCCAGACATAATTGTCGGGATCCGCTTCAGCTGCGGCGTCTCAGTATATAGGGAGCTGTAGCTCGCGGTATACTGAGCCTAGGGTGACGGGAGGACGCTAGTTTGTGTCCTCCCGTTACCCTAAGGAGAACTATGGGGAAAAGACTTAACCCCATAGTTCTCCTTTAATGCATCCTCTGCCTTAAGGTAAAAACGGCCCAGCACCTTTTTCCCTTTTGAGGCTTTAATATCACTTTAAGGTTTTGGGTTTTGGATCTTGGGATCCTTAGTGGTGCAGCATAACAGTCAAAAAAGTTATTATTTTTGGTCATATTAATGTCTGATGATTTCCTCGGTCCTTTACTCATCTCAGTGCCCTTAAAGCTGTAACAGCGGTTTAATTGCAATTAAATTTAACATTAGACATGTGCACCGGCAAAAAAATTTGTTTAGTTTTGATTCAGATTTTGCTTTATTTCGTTTTTCGGAATTCGGGTCCGAAAGTCAATTAGTTTCGGAAATCGGATCCGAATGAAATTCGTTAGCGGAAATCCGTACGCACTTTCTTTTCGTTTCCGTTTCATTCGTTCGTTGCAGCAAAGTGACATTTAAGAGGGAAAAAAAAGTTTTTTTTGTCCACAAATGTCGCTTTGCTGCAATGAAATTTCGTCCAAAAAACGAAAGTTCACCCAAAAAAAACCCCAACAAATCGGAAATTTGGAATTGGAAATTTGGAATCGGAAATTTGGAATCGGAAATTCGGAATCGGAAATACGGATTGGTTTGCATTCGTTATAACTGTAATTCAGAATTCGGATACATCCGAATTTCCGAAATTTCGCCCGAATTTCGATTCGGAACGAAACGAATAGCGCATGTCTAGTTAACATGCTGGTATAGGGGGTTCCCACCATGTGCCGGGTGAGGATATTTGAAGATGTGTGGGCACCTTGTATTAGGCATTAGTGACTACAAATGTAACAGGTTTACTTGCAGATAATAATAGTGAGGTTTACTTGTGTAGATTTATTCAGCGATTAGATATGTACAAAAAACATAATTTTAGGGGAGTGGTCCTCATTCATTAGATGGGCATTGTCCTCCTTAAAAGTTCTGTTTTTCTATACCTCTGATTACTGAATCAGTACCTACACCCTTGCAGTCACTCGCTGTTGTTATTTGCTTGGTCTGTTGACTGGAAATTGGCTTTGCTCTGTTTTGTTGGGTTGAGGATCTGCTGTTGTTTATGTTTTTTTAATCTTTAAAGCATGCCATACAAAAATGGCACTTATCCCGAGACCCATTCTCCTTTTTGTAAAGCCTTCTTATACTCTGAGGCTGGCTAGAACTGCCATGTCTTTTCCGTGATTGTGCAACACTCTTATGAGCCTTGAAGACATTTCAGATATCACAGTCATTTATCATGTGCTCATGTGACATCATTATACGTTTCACAACATCCAGACTGTTCTGAAAATGTTCCAGACTAGAGTTTATTGTTCCTTTTACATAGCGCAGAACACTTACGATGAAATATGATTTCTAAACCTAATAAATGGAGTTGTTTCTGAAACATATGCTTTATGTCTACTGGCTCTTCTTCTGAAGCAGGCCCGGGAATCAGCCCATGTAAAGCTCCACTGTATGCTAGCGGGAACTAAAAATCGTGCTTTAAATATCACCATCAAACTTATGTCACCCAAGACTAAGATCTCAGTTTTCAGTGGCTCTGGTGGTTTCTTTCCAGTTGATGTCTTATGTCTCTGAGACTTCCATGGTAAGGTTTCCCTTAGGTATAAGTGGCTTCTGTCCTTTCCATCACAAGTTGATGCCTTATATTTCCGAGACTTCCATGGTAAGGGTTCCCTCGGGTATGGGTGGCTTTGGTGTTTTCCATCACAAGTTGATGTCTTATGTCTCTGAGACTTCCATGGTAAGGTTTCCCTTAGGTATAAGTGGCTTCTGTCCTTTCCATCACAAGTTGATGCCTTATATTTCCGAGACTTCCATGGTAAGGGTTCCCTCGGGTATGGGTGGCTTTGGTGTTTTCCATCACAAGTTGATGTCTTATGTCTCTGAGACTTCCATGGTAAGGTTTCCCTTAGGTATAAGTGGCTTCTGTCCTTTCCATCACAAGTTGATGCCTTATATTTCCGAGACTTCCATGGTAAGGGTTCCCTCGGGTATGGGTGGCTTTGGTGTTTTCCATCACAAGTTGATGTCTTATGTCTCTGAGACTTCCATGGTAAGGTTTCCCTTAGGTATAAGTGGCTTCTGTCCTTTCCATCACAAGTTGATGCCTTATATTTCCGAGACTTCCATGGTAAGGGTTCCCTCGGGTATGGGTGGCTTTGGTGTTTTCCATCACAAGTTGATGTCTTATGTCTCTGAGACTTCCATGGTAAGGTTTCCCTTAGGTATAAGTGGCTTCTGTCCTTTCCATCACAAGTTGATGCCTTATATTTCCGAGACTTCCATGGTAAGGGTTCCCTCGGGTATGGGTGGCTTTGGTGTTTTCCATCACAAGTTGATGTCTTATGTCTCTGAGACTTCCATGGTAAGGTTTCCCTTAGGTATAAGTGGCTTCTGTCCTTTCCATCACAAGTTGATGCCTTATATTTCCGAGACTTCCATGGTAAGGGTTCCCTCGGGTATGGGTGGCTTTGGTGTTTTCCATCACAAGTTGATGTCTTATGTCTCTGAGACTTCCATGGTAAGGTTTCCCTTAGGTATAAGTGGCTTCTGTCCTTTCCATCACAAGTTGATGCCTTATATTTCCGAGACTTCCATGGTAAGGGTTCCCTCGGGTATGGGTGGCTTTGGTGTTTTCCATCACAAGTTGATGTCTTATGTCTCTGAGACTTCCATGGTAAGGTTTCCCTTAGGTATAAGTGGCTTCTGTCCTTTCCATCACAAGTTGATGCCTTATATTTCCGAGACTTCCATGGTAAGGGTTCCCTCGGGTATGGGTGGCTTTGGTGTTTTCCATCACAAGTTGATGTCTTATGTCTCTGAGACTTCCATGGTAAGGTTTCCCTTAGGTATAAGTGGCTTCTGTCCTTTCCATCACAAGTTGATGCCTTATATTTCCGAGACTTCCATGGTAAGGGTTCCCTCGGGTATGGGTGGCTTTGGTGTTTTCCATCACAAGTTGATGTCTTATGTCTCTGAGACTTCCATGGTAAGGTTTCCCTTAGGTATAAGTGGCTTCTGTCCTTTCCATCACAAGTTGATGCCTTATATTTCCGAGACTTCCATGGTAAGGGTTCCCTCGGGTATGGGTGGCTTTGGTGTTTTCCATCACAAGTTGATGTCTTATGTCTCTGAGACTTCCATGGTAAGGTTTCCCTTAGGTATAAGTGGCTTCTGTCCTTTCCATCACAAGTTGATGCCTTATATTTCCGAGACTTCCATGGTAAGGGTTCCCTCGGGTATGGGTGGCTTTGGTGTTTTCCATCACAAGTTGATGTCTTATGTCTCTGAGACTTCCATGGTAAGGTTTCCCTTAGGTATAAGTGGCTTCTGTCCTTTCCATCACAAGTTGATGCCTTATATTTCCGAGACTTCCATGGTAAGGGTTCCCTCGGGTATGGGTGGCTTTGGTGTTTTCCATCACAAGTTGATGTCTTATGTCTCTGAGACTTCCATGGTAAGGTTTCCCTTAGGTATAAGTGGCTTCTGTCCTTTCCATCACAAGTTGATGCCTTATATTTCCGAGACTTCCATGGTAAGGGTTCCCTCGGGTATGGGTGGCTTTGGTGTTTTCCATCACAAGTTGATGTCTTATATCTCTGAGACTTCCATGGTAAGATTTGGTCTGTGCCTCCACCTACTCCCCCAAGGCCATCAGGATGTATTCATGGAGCATGAAACAATCACGATCATCTCTGTTCAATTATGATTGTATAATGACACAACCATTGAAGGGAACTGGGAATTCTCATTGAAATATCTTGCACATAAGAGCACCCAAGAAATCTAAAAAGCCAACAAGATGGCCCTCTAATCTTCAACGTGTAGGTTTTCTGCTCCCTTTTGGAAGTTTGAATACTATACATATCAAAAAAGAGGCCAGTTCCTCTAGTGCCTTGGTTCTCAACTGGTGGGTCGTGACCCAAAAGTGGGTCACGACCCCGTGTTCTACTGTTGGTTCTTGCCCCAAGCAGCCATTTAAAATATGCTGCCCAGTGGCGAGTGTCTCAGCTTAAGGTGGCTGCCCTGAGTGTGTCTGTGGTTGTGTGTGTCAGTGTTTTTGAGAACCCGTTCACACTAGTACAGTGCGTTAATCGAACAGTCCCAATGCGATTATTGTACTGTACCACGTAATCATATCTACTCCGAGCTCCTTCCCTTCTTATAGGTGCAGTTGTTTTTGTTGCCATAGTTAAGTTGTTTCTCTGGGAAGGATGTTCTCCAATATGCGACTGCTTGCTGCAACTGAGCTCTTGAGCGGTGTACGGGTATAGCCACTATAGGGAGTGGGCTCCTTTTCTGTTCTGCATAGTGACCAGGACGGCCATCTCCACACAGAGACACGGTACAGAACAATGCATGGCAATTGAGCAATGGGGAAAAAATCAGCTGCAAGAAGACTACAAGTCAATACTGGTGACAAGTCTTTTCCCCTTTGCCTTCCTTTTTTCGGGCACAGCTTCTAAATTGTGGTTCCTCTTTAACTGCTGCCCTCCGAAGCTGCACACACTCACCCTCATTTTTCTCTTTAGCCAGTACAAGGTGTCACCTCAATTTCAAACTTTCTACAGAATGAAAGGTAGAAAGCAAGCCAGTTTTTTTTTTAAAGTGTGAGATGATTCCTGAAGATGGTCCTCAGCCCCACTGTAGGTGGTATTCTGCTATGTATAATACTGTTGTTATATCTGACACACCATGCATTTATCATTCATTAATTATTATGTACATTATTTCCTCTAGGCCTCAGCAATTTGCTCAATCTTGAGTTGGAAGGCAATGGCTTTCACGATGGCAATGTCTCCCCTCTTTCTTTCAAGCCCCTAAAGAAGCTCATTTACCTGCGTCTAAACCGCAATCAGTTTCGGGCTGTAACTTCGGGACTTCCATCTACTCTGCAGGTACTTTTTTTTCAGCCGCATAACACCGGCTAACAATAGTTTCACATTTATATCCCGCACTCAAAATAACTCACATGGCACATTGACTCCTAAATTGGGACCACTTACTGACCGTGACATTTAAGTAAGTCAGTGTAGGTGGTAAGAGAGACTACTCCCATTGTCCTGACCTATTGGCATCTTCTAATTGGTGGTCAGTCATGAGCAAGTAGAACTATGACATAATTCAGCACAGATATAGATATATTCTCATATTTTTTGTTTCGGCCGGACTTAAGAAATAAGAATTAAATAAAATAAAAAGGTGATTCAAAAGTAAAAAATAATAAGAAACAATTATTAAACAATAAGAAAATAATGATACAAAATAAATAAACAATAATAAGATTAAACAATGATAACAAATAAAAAAGTAAAATAAAAAAATGTAAAGTAAAAAAAAAAGAAAAAGTGATAAAAAAAGTAAAAAAAAAAAAAGGAAACAATAAAAAAATAAAACTAACCCCGCCGCCCCTGCCATCTGGTTGCCATTCTCCATTGATGGAGCGGGGCGCATTGCAGAACCTGGCCTTGGGGCGGCAGGGAGAGTAATTCCGGCCCTGTTGGGAGTTCCAATATTCGAATGCATTTTACCTAAATTGCAGTGGCGAGCACCTTAATGTGCACATGAACACGAGGCAACCGTATGAACGGACCCTTTATTGCCTTCGCGTTCTGGGCAGGTGAGTGGGCGAGTTTGCATGGGGATATGTTTTTCTCACAGAGTATATCGGCAGAGGAACACGTATGACTTATCAGCTTTTCTGAATAGGGCGCAAATGTGCGCACCAAATTAGGCAATTTTTTTCCCCCTCTTGTAAAAGTTTGCACTTAGGGAACCAGGCCAGAATCCAGTCCGTGCATAAACAAATATACAGCACTTCTGTCACGGATCGGGGCTCACGGGTATGAACTGGAGTAAGGAATGTGGACCCTTTCTACTACACTGGCAGGGACACTTAGAGAAAAGGGTCCAAGCAGATTAGGCTGACGACTCCCAGAGCTGGAGTACAAGCAGGGGAACAGAGCAGGTATGTGAATGAGGCAGTGGAAGTCAGCTTAAGCAGGAAGTTTAAATACAAGTCAGGGTGCTCCAATGCTGAGTAGGTGGCACGGGGTCCCCCAGGATGTGGAATCTAAGGGCCAGCCGGTATTCGCCAGAGCTCCTGATGGTGGAGATGGGCTTGGCTGCGTGCTGACCCCAGGTCACAATCCCTAGGTCCACCCAACTCACCTACCAGGTACAGGGTACGAATCAAAGGTTAGGCACAGGCTGAAGACTAAGACTTTCAAGGACAAAGCGAAGCATGGGGCAGACTGTAGACAGGGATTTCCAAGGACAAAGCGAAGCATGGGGCAGACTGTAGACAGGGATTTCCAAGGACAAAGCGAAGCACAGTGCAGACTGTACACAGGGATATCCAAGGACAAAGCAAAGCACAGGGCAGACTGTAGACAGGGATTTCCAAGGACAATGGCGAAGCACAGGGCAGACTGTACACAGGGATATCCAAGGACAAAGCAAAGCACAGGGCAGACTGTACACAGGGATATCCAAGGACAAAGCAAAGCACAGGGCAGACTGTACACAGGGATATCCAAGGACAAAGCAAAGCACAGGGCAGACTGTACACAGGAATATCCAAGGACAAAGCAAAGCACGGGGCAGACTGTAGACAGGAATATCCAAGGACAAAGAGAAGCACAGGGCAGACTGTAGACAGGGATATCATAGGACAAAGAGAAGCACAGGGCAGACTGTAGACAGGGATATCCAAGGACAAAGCGAAGCACAGGGCAGATTTTACACAGGGATATCCAAGGACAAAGCGAAGCACAGGGCAGGCTGTAGACAGGGATATCCAAGGACAAAGCGAAGCCCAGAGCAGACTGTAGATAGGGATTTCCAAGGACAAACCAAAGGTTCTGTACACGGGCAAACTTCCAGCAATTCAGGTTCAATTGCGAATGTGGGACTCGGCAACTAGCTTGGGAAAGCGTTGCTCAGGGCAGCGTGCCGTTCGCTGCCCTGAGTTTAAATAGAGACAGGAAGAGGGAGGATCCACAGGATTGGCCACAAGCGGACTGCGCTGATTGGCCGAGAAGCTGTATAAGAAACAGCAGGAGAGGTCGGCCGACACCTAAAACTGCCAGACTGGTGCAAGTGTGAGTCATGTTCAGAGTACATGCCTGGAGGACTAAGAGGACCAGCACAGCCCTGCATGCCTGCAGAACCAGGGGCAAGAGGTCTGTATATACTTGTAGAACTACAAGTAACAGCTCAGCTGCAAGTCTGCCGTTGAACGGTGACGCCTTCTGAAATACAGATGAGGGCAGTAATAACACAGGGGCAGAGTTTCTTTTTATAATTGCACTTCATCCTTTTGGGATTTCCTTCTTTCCCTTGTGATCATATACCATTGCACACATTGCACACATTGCACACATTGCACACATTGCACAGGGCCTTCTTTCATGGAGCCATTGCTTGTACAGAGCTAGCAAGCAATGCCTTATGGAAAAAAAAAGACACTTCTCCTCATTATTTATCCTAAGATCACATCGGTGGTTCCATCCACCTGGCTGCTTTGTGTTTAAGGAGGGAAGAAGCCAAAGCAGGGTAAGCAGTGAATATTTGCTCTTTTTTGGTGTTGCGTTTTCCTTTCCTCGTGATCAGTGGCCTGCGCTGGCCGTAGTTCCCAGTGGTTTGGGTTGGAAAGCCAGCTGTTGAATCGATAGCTGCCAAGAACTCAAATAGCTGTGTGTAGTTTGACATTTTCTTGGTTAGGCTATATGAGCTATGCACATGGCCGGAGTGATACATTCCCAGCAGTCATGCTGCTAAGTCGGCTTGATACACAGAAAAGATATTGTTAAGGTCAGCATTTCCTAAATGCTGGATATGTACCATTGATTTTGCCCAACATCAGTGCGTGTGGGACACTGCAGGGCCCATGAGGCCTGGTGGGAAAATATACTTAAACTGGCCACACACTGGTCACATTTCGGCCAAGTCCTGCTGACTCCAGTATATGGCCCAGTCGGCACCCTTCCATTCCACCAAAGCTGACGTTTATCAAAGGAGGTGGTTCAAAAATTCTCTGGGAACAACAGCAACTCAGCCAGGAAGTGGTCGGCCACGTCACATGACAGAGCGGGGTCAGCGCATGCTGAAGCGCACAGTGCGCAGAAGTCGCCAACTGTCTGCAGAGTCAATAGCTACAGACCTACAAACTCCATGCGGCCTTCAGATTGGCACAACAACAGTGCGTAGAGAGCTTCATGGAATGGGTTTCCATGGCCGAGCAGCTGCATCCAAGCCGCACATCACCAAGTGCAATGCAAAGCGTGGGATGCCGCGGTGTAACGCACGCCGCCACTGGACTATAGAGAAGTGGAGGCGTGTTCTCTGGCGTGACCAATCACGCTTCTCTGTCTGGCAATCTGATGGGCGTGTCTTGTCAAGACATTTTGGACAATTTCATGCTCCCAACTTTGTGTGAAAATGTTGGTGACGGCCCCTTCCTGTTCCAACATGACTGCGCACCAGTGCACAAAGCAAGGTCCATAAAGACATGGAGGGGGGAGTTTGGGGGTGGAGGAACGTGACTGGCCGCACAAAGTCCTGACCTCAACCCCATAGAACACCTTTGGGATGAATTAGAGCGGAGACTGCGAGCCCCTCCCCCAACATCAGTACCTGACCTCCCAAATGGTCCAACATTCCCATAGACACACTCCTAAACCTTGTGGACGCCTTCCCAGAAGAGGCGGAGCTGTTATAGCGGCAAAAGGCGGAGACAACCCAATACTGAACCCTACGGACTAAGACTGGGATGCCATTGAAGTTCATGTGCGTGTAAAGGCGTCCCAATACTTTTGGCAATATAGTGTATATGCCTTATAAATGGTGTTTGCCCAAATCCACCTGGAATTCAGCTTTGAAAAAGTATTGCCTCATCCGGTATGCCACCCACTGCGTCTTAAAAGCTACGACCTTATTTCAAACCATACGTATGCTAAAGCACATGTAGTTGGGATAATTGTGAGGGATGTCAAACGCAGGCCTGTAATAAACATAACCGTTATGACTGTTACTGGAATACGGGTTATTTGTGATCTAGGTAGCTGACTCACGAGACGGCTTTCTAAAACATTCTCTTCCAGGTTTGATTTCCACTTTATAAATACTCGTCTGCAATCCCAGAATGAGGCGTCATACCACAAGTCCCTAGAAGGGTTTTAATGAATGACTGTCCCTCACTGGCCGGGATAAACGTTACATGTTCTAAGCGGGATTACTGAAGATTTCAAAGTCTTGGGATTCCCATCATAAACGTGCAAGTACAACCATTAGGCCCCATTCCCACGTAGCGACATACCTTTTGCAGCGGCCGGGATAGCGCGACTTTCGGGGCGACGTTCCAGCGACGATCCATCGACGTTTGCGCGACCTTCTCCGTCGGTCTCCATAGAAAAAAGCAAGGTCCGCCGAAAAAAAGGTCCTGTAGAAGCGACTTGCGACGCGCGACATGGAGCTAAGACAGCTCCATTGAATATCATTAGCGACTTCTCGCGATATCGTGCGGCAAAAATGCGCGATATCGCGGCGGAAATCCCTTGATAAATCGCTACGTCTGAATGGGGCCTTAGGCCTGGTTCACACCTGTACGTTTTGTAGCGCGTTCAACGCTCTACGAACGCTCTACAAAACGCTCAAACATGAAAATCCCATTGTCTTCTATGGGTACGGTTCACACCTTGCTGTTTTTCAACCCGTCTGAACGCGCTACAAAACGGGCCACGCCTGAAAAGGTACAGGAGCTTCTTTGCGGCCTTTTTGTTGCTCGTTTCCATTGGGATACAGCCGAGTAGCCCTCGGAAACGCGCGTTTGTCGCGCGTTTTTTTTTTACCGCGAATCGCGGTAAAAACGTGTGTCACGCGCGCATATTCGATACGC